GTCTTTTTGTTTTCTTTTCATTTACTTATTTTGCTCGATTTTCTCGATCTTTGCGCAAAATTGATTAAAAATCATGAAAAAACCCATTTTTGTGTAGTAATTTTTAGGTTACTTTTAGTGAAAAAGTACCACTGCTGTGCACATGTCACCTAAAGGTCTTGTAGATGAAAGCTTACATTCCGACTGGGTCCCACTTGACCAAAAACTTGACTTTCCCATCAGGTTCCACCCTCCTTGCCATCACTTGACTCAAAACGTTCACTGTATTACCGGCATTGTGGATTTGCCCCATGGTCCTGTCTTGCGTCATCGTCAACAACTTATGTTGCAGTCCCTCCATTATACCACCATCAATAAAATCAAACATTCGTGCTAAAAAACCCCAATATTAGTCACGTGTAATGAAAACTACCCCAAATTGTATATTATTCTTATACTTACGCAACAATACAATAAAAACAAATCTAAATGTTTACCTGACCAAGGCTGCCTTCTGAACCTTATCTTTTTCCCGTTCCTCTTAAACAACTTCACTGAGGAGTTTTCGGTTGATTTTTTCGCGCTGTTGTTTTGATTGCCGTCGCTGGTGAAGTGGCCATTCACGTGGCGCTCCAGTGTCAACTGAAATGGGGGCTTTTGAGAGGGGTTTTTGCGATTTTTGGGGGATTTACCTGTGAATTGAATCTTTGGCCACAGCCATCGACGATGCATCGGAAGGGTTTGGTTCCGGCGTGGGCCAAAACGTGACGTTCCAACCACGATCTTGAGCAGGAAGTGCGTCCGTGCACTTTGCAACCCAACCACAGGCAGACGTACTGTTCTTGAGTTGCTTGCGATATCACATGTTTTATCTGGAATAAACAACCATTTTCATGATTCTAAATCATTTATATCCCCATATCTTCGACCGATTTTTACCATATGTTTCGGCAGTCTCCCCTTCCTACATACCAAATTTCAAGTTTCTCGCTCTTATATAGCATAAGAAAAGTGAAAATACTTTGTTTTCTCGAGTTGTGAAGTTCTTTTTCTCAAGGGAGGTGCAAAATCAAATAAAAAAAATATCAGAATAACTGTCAAAACAACAAATTGGCTTATTTCATGTTAAAAAACTACAGGTAGTAAAAAAAATAAAATGACATAACCTCATTTACGATAAAAAATATTAAATTAATATCTCAGTCGGTAATAATAAATAACAAAAATAGTATATAAAAATAACATAAAAAAATCTTTTCTCTACCTTGTGTTGTAATATACTATTTTTACGTAATTGAATCCAATATACCTCAAATGACCAAATCTACCAAAAATGATGCTATTTTGAATTTTTTTCTATTTGAGTGGGTTTTTGGGTTAGTTTTCACGCAATATTTTGCTAAAATAGACCGAAAAAATCACTAAATTCGACGAAATTGATGTTACATATTTTGAACTACTTTATTGCTTAATTTATTTCGTCCAAACGGTGCGACCGATTTTTACCAAATGTTTCGTGCTGCGTCCCCTTTCTACAAGTAACTTAGATACCAAATTTCAAGTTTCTAGCTCTTATCGTTTTCGAGATATGCTGTTTACAGACAGAGAGAGAAAGTAAAAAAAGCTTTTAGTAAGTAAAAAAGCATTTAAGCACGTTTTTCAGCTAAAACTGTATTACAAGTCACAAAATTCACGATGCTTTTGCACAATTTTTTAACAAAATACGAAAACATCACCACGTTGAGACAAGAATAATGTTAATTTTGCCCTTTTCAAAAGTTTAAGCGCTTTTTTGAGCAGAAAAAAACCAATGAGAAAATTAAATCAAAATTGACGTTGTTTTGCTTGATTTAGTCCGTTTTTGAGACATAAACTTGCTTATTTTGCAAAATTTTTGTCTTTTTTAAGAACATTTTCAGCTAGAAGCGCGTTGTTTATTGCAAAATTTCCATAAAAATTAAGCAAAAATTGTTTTTGTTTGCTGGATTTTGTTAAAACGCAGTCTTACCAAAATTTTGCTTGAAATTAAGCCTCAAATGACCAAATTCTACCAAAAATGATGCTATTTATAAATTTTTAACTATTTGAGTATGTTTTTGGATTAGTTTTCACGCAATATTTTGCTAAAATAAACCGAAAAAATCACTAAATTCGACATATTTTGAACTCTTTATTGCTTAATTTATTTCGTCAAAACAAGTCAAAAAATCACCAAATTAATTAAAAATAATGATATTTTTTTGGCTTTTTTCAATATTTAACTGGAAACTTATTTTTTTTCTAAATTTTGCTAAACTTAGTCAAATATTAACGTTGTTTTTGGAATACTTTGCTCTATTTATTTTGTTTCTGAGTGAGATTTTATGAAAAAAGGCAAAAATTTACAAAATGTTGCCTTTTTAGAGCGTTAAAGAAAGTGTTCAATCAGAAACGCATTGTTTTTTTGTAAAATTTCGCTGCAGCAGGTCGAAAGATTACCAAATTTGAGAAAAAATTATATTATTTTTGTTTTTTTTTTCCAAGCATGTTTTTAAGGTGAAAATTCTTTTTTTGCAGGATTTTGTTAAAACGCAAAATTACCAAATTTAGCCAAAATGATGCTATTTATGAATTTTTGACACAATTTTCATCTAAAAATGCAATTTTTGTTCAAACATCCCGAAAAATTATCAAATTAGTCAAAAATTAATGTTATTTTGAGTTATTTCGCTTGATTTATCTCGTTTTTGAGCGAGTTTTTCTCACAAGAAGCCAAAGAATGACTAAATTTTTGCCTTTTTCGAACGGTAAAGAACATTTAAAAGTAAAGAGATTTTTTTAAGGAGATTTTTTTTGATGTTTATAATGTTTTATGTAATTTTTTGAGTCTCCAGGAACTCTAGAAATCTGAAAAACGTTCTTTTTACAACAAAAAGTTTTTTTGTTTTGTCTCAAGCGAGAAACTCAATTATTTCGACAAATTTTCTCAAAAATAATAAAGTTATGTAATTATATATTAAACTTACAGAATTTTTACCTTTTTCGGGTGTTTTTAGCACATTTTTCAACTAGGAACACAATTATTTCGATCAAAATAAGCCAAAAATTCCCCAAATTACACCAAAATTGGTATTACTCTTGGCTTTTTATAGTGTTTAAACATATTTTTGAGCCAAATCTCACTAAAACTGGCTGAAACATATCGAGATTTATATTATTTTAGTTTGTTTCGTTCGATTTAGTTCTTTTTTGAAGTAGAGAGGCTCATTTATTTTTCAAGATTTTTTTAAAACACAATCACAAAAAGTGTTTATTATACATATTATTATTTATTATATATTGTTTTCATATATTTTTAGCTTAAAACCACCCAATTTACGTCTAGAATACCATTATTTCAAGCGTTTTTGCGACAAAAAGTTTTTTACGTTAAAAAATCGATTTTTTTTAACTCGACCCTAAAAGGTTTTATTTAATTTTTTTAATTTTATGCACATTTCTGAGTTAGTTTACAACATTTTTGCATTTTTCTAAGTCTCTTGGATCCCTAGGAGTACATTTGGTTTAATTCTGGAGTTTTAATTTTTTGATTTTTGTCAAAATTTTGGGCGATTTCAGTACCCGGAGCCGATATCAGCTAAATTTCTTTTTTCGATAACTGTCTTATTGAGAAAATCATTGGTATATACAAAAATAGCAAAAATATTAATTCTAATTATTTTCAATATACATACTTTGACCGCAATTTACCAAATAAGAAAAAGCGATTTTTTTTTTTTGAAAAATTCGTAATTTTTTAAACTCGACCCAAAAACGTTGTATGCACTTTTTTGAGTCTTTAAGACCTCTAGAAATGTAAAAAGACGTAAAGTAGATCAATTGTAAAGATTTTGATTTTTGTCGATTTTTGGCACCCGGAGCGGTCTATTGCCAATATCTCCGGACTTATTGGTAATAACCTCTTATATTTGGTACCGTTGAAAAGCAAATTTAATTTTCTATCATATAAAAAAAAGATCAGTGTTCTACGATAAATAGTTATCGAGAAAATTTGTGATAAAGTCAAAAGTATGGAAAATATAAATCCGACTATAACTTCAAAACTATTAGGAATTTTGCAGTT